GGCCTCGTGATAACTTCCACGGGGCCTCGACGTGGCTCTCGATCGTTCATGAGGATAGGAGCAAGGGATGATGGACTCTGATGATAATTCGGGGTCATTACCTGTGGCTACTTCCCAGCCATCGTCGTCCTTAGTGGTCTTCACGCCGTTCGTTGGCACGGAGTTTTCCCCTTTCTTCGGCGAGACAGCCCTACAATACAAAAAGTACCAAAATAGGCGCTATCCTCTTTGACATAACCTTTTTTTTTTTTTATAAAAATTCTATGTCCTAAAAGTAGACGAGTAAAATTAAAGGCGTAAAGAGTTATTGAGAAATTCATTAAATGCCAAGGCAGAAATTACATTAATGGCGAGTGTTCGGAGGCACTTGTTCACCGCTACAAGTAAATACATAGTTATTCTATTTTTATATAAATTATCTTTTAGTGTCAGTTATTTCTATTTTTTCCGACCATTTGCAAAATTTCAGAGTATCAACTCTACCCATAGACTTGATTCGCATATCGAATAGTTTATAGTCTACTATATACATTGAGACAGAGAATATACGAAGCAAAGGACGAAGAGAAATTTTTCTTTCGATCATCGAGGAACGTCAGTTTTAAACAACATTACAAATATCATACATAATCCAAACGTTTACAGCAATCAAACTAAACACTACTGTAAATGTATATACGTTGATACGAAGGACCAAATGGCTAATTGACAGAACAACCGAGTCAAAGTTAGAATTCTGTTGTTCGTAAACCACGCGCGATATCGTACAATCAACGTTTCTTACATACATCATTTTGCAATCATTTTCGTGCAACCATATCCTGTTGTGTATCTGTCTAACTGCTGTAATATGTTGAGATATGTAAAATTTTCTATACGCAGGATACTGTGCTCGAACGTTCGAAACATTCACGGGTACAAGTCACGCGTATTTGTCGTGTTTACATACGCATTTCGCGATCGTGCATAAAAAGGCGTCGATCTCTCTCCCGTGTACGCATTGTACCGATTACTTTTATACCGAACGAGCACGATTATTGGGCAAAGTTTACGCAAAAAATAGATCAATTGCCTTTAATCGTGCGCTATCGAGCATTAAAGAGTGGGAAGAATTTATTCGGTGCACGTGTTGAAGCTTGCCGCGGAAATGTTACCGCAACTGTGACCACAACTTATGAATATGCAGCATCACGTGCGTGCATGCGGTGTACATCGTCGTTAAGTATGGCTGATCAGTGCAAGAATGTCAGATATCCTGTCAACTGGGAATTTTCTTCCAATCCGTGCCTTTCGCGAACATCAACCATGTCACCAGCTGGAATGGCTGAAGTTAACGAGTCTTCGAATCGCTCCTTCTCCCCCTGCGTTAACGAACCTAACTCAGGATATATTTTGACTTGACGGTATTCACAAGTCGAAACGGCTGTGTAAATTGTGCATTTTTATGGTTGTAAATCACGTTAAGATACTTTCTCTATTCTTGAACTTTGTCGAGGCTGAAACAGGTTTCGATGAAAGCGTATACCTCGAAATCGAGAGGGTTTGATGCGGATTGCTATGAATCTGTAATTAGAGATCTTTTGTTGTTTTCGTTGAAATAAACGACGTGGATTCGAAACGTGCGAAATAATGATAAATTATACTAAATACGACACCTGCTTAATAATAAAAACAATAATAACAGTGAGCAACAACGATGCCGGCCGAGCAACCAAGAGTTGGGAATTTTTCTCCAGAACGAAAATACCAGTTCTTAAAGAGATAGAAAAGAAATGGTAAGGGAAGAGACAGTTAATGTAAAAGAAAGAAAGTAAGAGTAAGGCGGGAAGACTTGGAGAAACTGAGAAAATAACAAGTGAGAGAATCGAATGTAATCGAAAAGATCTAGACCTGATTGATACCTTGGAGATTATGAATAGAAAATAGGGAAGGAATTAGGAAAAGTTAAAAATGTAAAAGATTTTTAAATAGAAATAGAATTAATATCCTGGTCACCAAATTTGTACAGAAATGATTGGATTGCCGTAGAAAAAATCGTGAGATGCGTAGATAAAAAATAATATTTTTGAAAAGGTGGGAAAAGCGCAGGTAGATGATATAAACGATAAAGACCTTATGGCAGTGTTGTAATTGCGGCGCATGCTCGAGTTCAAAAATAAATTAAATTAGCATATATTCGTTCAATTCTTGGTTTTATTTTTAGAAAAATAATTCATTCTAGTAAAACATGTCGTTTACGATCTCCCTAAGATACGCAACGATTCGTATACCCGTTTCATTGCATCCCTTCCAACAGTATATAGCGAATCTCAGTCCGCGCAAGTAGTGCTCCATCTTGTGCATTGTTCCATTAAAACTAATCCTTTCGAAGGGATTGAAACGAATTCTGCAATAAAATGTTGCAATTACATATATAAACTTTTAAACAAGTAGTCGCACACAGCAACATATACTGTTAACGTCAAAGAAAAAGTAATTGATTAATAATGTAAAATGGCCATATACGTTACAATTGAGTTATTCATTTACGTACGCTGTTAATATAAATTTTAGATTGCGAAAGCACGAAAGAAGTTCCTGTAATTTACTGAATTTCGTAATTAAGAGGTCAACGCACCGTTAGGATGATATGATATTACTCCAGAAATGTAAAGACGCTATCCTCGAGGAAAGAATGTCCTTATCCTTTGAATAAGCCTTAACGCATTTTGTTGGAGGTACGATCCCATTGTCACAACCCTGGCAGCAATCCTATGAGACAGACAGATCAGACTCGCTGGCAACGCGGTATTAATAAGGCGCCCACGTGCCCGACCAATTACTACGTTCATAACTCTCGTCATTTCACGGAATGGTAACTGCGTTATAACTACAAACACAACGGGTGACTGCCAAGCATTTTATTACATCCCGGACCGAAACCTTGAACTTTGTGCATCTCGTATCTGTGTAAACGTAAACTTCCGCGAAAGCATTGAATAACAAGGAATTCTATGCGAGTATAGCTCGAATTATTTCAGGACATTCCGATTATTATTCCGAAACTAGATATTCCCATTCGCGTTCGCCGGTTAATGCATGCGAACGTGTCTCGAATCGAGACAACGTGTTGCGTGTAAAGGGATGCGAGTTACGGCCCCATAGTTTTTCAAGTATTCGTGACCATACGATATTATTGTCAATGAAAGTTTACAGATTCCGAAAGACTGACGATGATTTGATCAAAAGAACGAAGTGAGTTTAAATTTGTTACATACGACCATACAAGTTTCTTTTCTGATAAGATATTCGTTTATGTTTAATCTGAAACGAGAGCCTATACGTAAACAGGTAGATGTCCTGGAATTTTCAACAATATTTTAAACAGAAAATGCTATTTGAAAACTACAAGATGAGTTAAATTTCGCAATAAAAGTTTTCTCAAACTTCTTTCGCTCTTTATGTTCTTCTCGTCAAATTAAAATACCTGAATTGTCTTTGATATTCGAAGGATTTAATGCGGATCTTCGTAACTTAATTTCGAATGTAAAAAGAGGTTGATGGTAGGGTAGAGAAAAAATTAATTTCCCAGAATGCGAAATCGACTCGGAAATAACGCTAATGAGGTAGCAGCCCAACGAATACTCGTATGTATACACATACTTTGAAGAAAAAGACAGTGAAAGATGAAAATAAATTGCAAAAAGAAAAGAAAAATTGGAGGCATGTTAAACGCATTACAGCCGCGATCCCGAAGGCATAATACAGATACAGGGGTTGTGCTCGGATGCAAGATATACTAGCTGCTCTAAAGTATTTGCATTATGCATGGAAATCTACTACCTCCTGCTAGGTGCAAGTACGTTTTTCAAACCACAAACATTATCTCGGCGCATGAAAATATCATCAGATATTCCCATAAAGCCAACCCATTAGACGTCAATACTGTTTCTAACAGATATAATACGTCTCACTTTTTCTCTTATTTTCTCTGTCAATCTCATGCAACCCGATAACATGACACTTACATAAAACGCGCCTCGTTCTTCACTGGGAATGTTGACATCTTACTTAGAGAATACCGACACAACATTATAATTTCGCTTTCAAAGATTTATGCCATACAGTTAAAATACAATGGAATTGATTCCACGGAATCAAACGATACAAAAACATTATACTTTTATTAATACTCTACTGATTACCGATACTTCCTTTTCATTGAGTCGCAGAAAAGAGTTCTGCAAAACGTTAAAAATCATACGGTTACGATGAAATAGATAAAACGTTAGGTTACCTCCTCGAAAGCTAAAGAAACAAAGTGATGGTTCTTGTCTATCAAAATAACACTTCTGACCGTGCGAAGATTATTTACAATTAGATTGTACCGGCATGGCACTCGACGATCAGCGATCCTACAGCGTTATTACTGGCTTTTTCCGTAATAAGCCAATTTATCCCGAACGCGGTTAAATTTTAATCTTTTTCTAATCTGCGGCACTGGAGGAGGTTACGTATTGGCCAGATCGGATCCACCGCTTCAAGGCAGGTAATTACGAGAGTGGTCGAGCGCGGTAACCTGTTTCATCGTGGCAATTAATATACACACGTGGAAGAATGGGACAATTTTTTTTTGGCCGCATTAGTAATGAAACATACGAGGCATAAATGAAATTTATTGAACAGTCTCGGAACGATCGAAGTATAAATTCGTGTCCCGTGGTTCGATAACCGTGTCGACCAAGTTCGACCTGCCTAATGGCCGTTCGACGTAATAAAAATTCTCACTGTTGCTACAACGTTCGCGTCGTTCGTACCACTTGCTGCATGGTGACGAGCAGGAATTTATTGCGATCAACTCACCGGCTCGATACCGACGCAACCGAAGTAGATGTCTAATAATCTCTTTAATAAACGAATTGCCGTTGCAATAAATAACATTTAATAGGCGTGCTACGTGCGATTCCTTTCGAAGGTGGGAAGTAATCTAGCTGGGCCGAGGGTTAATGTCCCGCCGCGCCGGTTGATATTAATAGCTTAATGCACAGCCGCACAGTGATCCGCCTCGTAAATCGTCATTACTTGCCGCGAATTGCTTCGATTCGCGGGCTGTCCATTGAAATCACCAGGGTGTAGTTACGCCGCCAGATATGCAAAGTGACCAGACTCTTCGTCACCGCTGTTTCTTGCGCGCACGAAGAAAAGTTTTAA